GAGAACTCCTACATCCAGCTGAGTGAGACAACTGTGAAAAGGCTGCTAAATTCTGCATCCTTGACTCTCAAAGAACTGGAGATACCACGAGAGAAACTCTCACCAGGCACCTTGGAGCTGATACACCATGGCAGCTATGGGAGTATCTACAGGGCAGAACTGGAAACTGAGAACTCCAGGAGGACTAAGACTGTCATACTGAAAGCCTTACAAGGTAACGCACATGATAGGAATCCATTTTGGTACGGCTCTCTGTATCAAAGACGTGATGCTGAACAGAGCTCTGCAGTAACTATTGAGCATGAGCAAGGCGTGTTCAGCATCATGTTAGCTAGCCAGAGTGGCATTTTGGTCCTTCAAGTATTTATTCAAAAGCACTATGTCAGGACCAAAGAAGGTTGCTGCTCAGGTTGATGTTCAAGCTGTTTGCCCTTTTCTTTGCTGCCTCCGTGGGGTGACAGACTAGGGTTTTTTTTTGGTTCTTTCAGATCTGGCTGATCCCTGGGAAATAAAGGATTTCCTGGGAAGGATTAAATTCCATCAAAATCTTGGCCATCATGAGAACCTGGTTGAATTGGTTGGATGCTGTGTAGACCAGCTCCCACTTTATATGGTCATGGAGGATGTGTCTCTTGGTGACCTATTGACCTTTCTATGGACATGTCGGAAGGTGAGTCAAAAGAAATGATGGAATATCTTCTTAAACGGCTTAGGTACATATCAATCCATAAGTCATAGAAGATTCTTTTCATTTGTCCATGTATCCATCTGTATCTGTCTAAACTATTTCCGTACCTGCAAAAATGCTCCATACCAATCTGAACTGGAATAGAAATAGTGGATGCCTGGATAAATACAATATAAAGTTGACAAAGTTGACATGCTTTTTGTAAAGACTACAGACCTACTTTGCAGGCCATTGGAGTTCCTTGAAGGGGTCAGCAGGCATTGGAATAGGAATGAGAGTTGATGCAACTACCTCAGTTTCTAAAAAGCTTTCAACAAAGTCCCCCACAAAAACTTTTAAGGAAATAGAGCAATCATGATATCAGGAAGAAGGTCCTTGAATGATAACTAATTGATTGGACAGAAAACAGAGCATATAAGTGTGAGGTCAGTATTTGCAATGGATAGAGGTCAACAATGAAGGTGTGCTGGGATATATGCTAGGACCTGGTGCTGTTCATTATATCTATCAATTATATGTATCAATGGCCTAGAGAACAGGATTAACAGTGAGGTGATGAAGTTTACTGATGATAGCAAGGGCAAGTAAGGGCAAGGGCTGACTGTGAAGACTTGCAGAAGGATCTTCCAAGACTGGGAGACTGGCCAATAAAAGGGATAAATGGAATTCAGCATAGATAAAAATGAAACGATGCATGTAGAAGAGCAATCCTTGCTCCACATATAAACCAATGGGCTTAAATCTGACCATTGCTGATAAGCAATGAAATCATGGGACTGATTCTATGAAGACATTTGGTCTCATGAAACTGTCAACTCAGACGAAAAAAGAAACCAAATATTAGGAATTATTAAGAAAGGTATATAAACAAAATGCTGTTGTATAAATCCATCATTCTCCCACATCTGGAACACAAAATACAGAGAGATCGCTCACTATATTGTTCAGTAGAAGGATGAAGTGGAAGCAATTAAAGCTAGTAACTGCCACATTCAAAGCAAACGAATGGAGGTGGTTCTTCATGCAGTAGGTAGTTGACTAATGGAACTTCTTGTCACTGAATGTTGTGGATGTTGAGACTTCACATGGGTTCAAGATAAGGTTGAATAAATTCATGGAATATAACCTGTTAAAGGTTACTGGACATGTTGAAACCTAATCATCTCAGGAGTTTCTTGAGCGGAAAATAGTTGGGGGCTGGAAGCCTACTCAGGAAAAGCATCATATTCTTACCTTATTCTCTCTCTCATTGGCCGTCCACGTAGGGTCACTGTTAGAGACAGGGTAGTGAGAGAGAGGGACTGTTGGTCTGATCCTAGATGCTCATTCTTATGTTATAAGTGTGTTTTTCTACTCATCAGTCTAATATCTAGTATTTCTTTCATTCATCTGTGTGGAGTGTCATTCTTCATTGTCATTATGCCCTTTCCTGTCTAACCTATTTATCTCTTTCCACTCTTCAATTTATCCGCCAGTTGTCTCTAGTGTACTCATCTTACCCAGCATATCATCTGTCAGCACTGCCCATACATGTGCCCTTATCTTTCAGTCACTCTACTGTTGATCTGAGAATTTGTCTGGGAGAGCATAAGATTAGATAGCACTTATTTTATCAGATTAGAAGGAACCAACAGCTGTGGCATTTGTTTGTTCCAAGGTTTGCTCTTTTGTCTTTAGGATGTAATGACAATGGACAGTATCCCCTATGACATCACTGAGAGGCAGGTATATGAAGTTGGACAGCATGTTGCAGCAGCTCTGGTAAGTCTGCTCAGATTTGCTGCCTTTTTTCCTGCTGGCTTGCTTGCAACACAAGTCTCTGCATGGTGTTGAAACTTCTTGGTCTAAGCATTGAGGATATGCTTTGTTAAAGATAAGCCAGATATATTTGCGTTGTTCTTCTGAGCACACACCTCTGTTCTGCAGCGTGGATGCTGGGTATGAACTAAATGAAAATTTCTTTTATTTAAAATTCCCTTTAAAATGACCATGATGTCCTTCTTCTCCAACTTCCCAGGGTTACCTAGAGCAGAAGAAGCTGTTCCATGGTGATGTTGCTGCCAGGAATGTCCTTCTTCAGCAGAACTTCACTGCCAAACTCTGTGGTTTGGGGCTGGCCTATGAAACTCACACATATGGTGCCAGCTCGGTCACACAGATTGTGCCCCTCAAGTGGCAGGCACCAGAGCGACTCCTGAAGAAACCCCCCAGCATCAAGGCAGACATGTATGATTTCATTTTTGGACTGGAAGTTCATCTGGCTGTTAGGCCTGTCTCTTTCACTTCTTTATGTATCATTTCATGCCCTGAACTTCATGGTAAGGCATATTTATTTCCAGCACAATACTCCACCTTGTAGCTCATACCTTCTCATTTCTGTCAGTCATGCCTAGTTGTTTGTACTTGTTTAAACTAGCTACCTCATTCATTCAGTCAATAATGGAAACTTAACATTGTTTTGTTTTCTTTTCTTGCAGATGGTCTTTTGGAATTCTACTATATGAAATGGTTACATTAGGTAAGAAGATTAAATTTAAAAAAAGGATATAAGGAAGCCAATTAACAAGTTAAGATCCAGAGTCTGAAATCTGAGATTGTAAAGTTGGCACTTAAATAAGTATCCTATTTTTCCCAACCTGCACAGTCTTGACAGATCCTTTTACATTTTCTGTCAGCGGGAATTGTGGTAGGAAAATAAGAATCAGTTTTAGTAGGAAAGGAAGGCATTCTTACGCAAAAGTTGCTGTCTGCAACCATTCCTTTATATTTTTTTCTGCTGTTATTCCTTTCCCCTTCCAGGTGCTCCACCATATCCTGAGGTGCCACCTTCTGACATTTTACCATACCTGCAGGAACGGAACATCATGAAACGGCCCTCAAGCTGCCAGCAAGCCATGTAAGGCCACTTGATTTATGGACAATTGAATTGGAGATCTGCAAAGCTAAATGGAAGTGAAAAAAGCCATACCATTTGAGACAAATAAAACTAGACAGTTATCTCTTAGCTGAGGAGATTTGTTCTTACATATCTGCCCCCTCCTCTTGCTGGATTCTGTTGCATGAAACCTTGATTACCCAAAACTCTCTTTCACACTTTTGAAATTTGATGTTGTTTCTGTTTTATTGTCTTTCATTTTGTTGTTCCCCTGCTTCCCTGCATGGTGCAGGACTATTCTGGAGTAATTTTTTCCTTTCCAGCTTTCCTGAAAGCTGTGGAATTATCCCTGAAATAAACTAAACAACCATGGGGAATGATCTTAGGTGTTATAGTTCCTCTTGTGAAGACAGTTGTTGAATACTGAGAGGCACTTTTGCCCATAAGGAATCCCATCTGCTCTTTCAAAAGGGAACACTAAACTCAATCTTTTCCCCTTTTCAGTTTCTAACTGAAGTATGAGATGGCTTAACTGTAGCAAAACTTTATGTTGATACTTCTCATTCCCAGCTCCTCCCTACTTCTCTCTCTTACAGGTATAGCATCATGAAGTCCTGCTGGCAGTGGAATGCAACTAGCCGGCCTTCCCCGGCAGACCTGATCCGGTGCCTACAAACAGCTATGAAGTCCAGCAGTGACCATGCAGTATTGCAGGTGCCTGAGCTGGTGGTGCCTGAATTCTATGCTAATGTTGCTGGTGTTAATGTGGGCAGTCTAGTGAGCAACTACACTGTACTCTGAAGGACCCTTTCGCGTGTTGGGAAAGGAGAGGTGTCTGACATTGCTGCTTTCTAGACGCTTTCCAAGTTCAGAATGAGGTGTGTATCCTGGGAGGGATCCCTTTGTTTTTCAAACACGTTATATATTTGAGATCTCTCCTTCACACCTGAAAAAATGAACTGGCAGTATTATTACTATTGCATCACCTTGTTGATATCACTCTATTAGAAAGGGTCCAGCCAAACAGCAGTGGTCATTTGGAAGCAAAGTGTGTTTAGGACGATATACACAATGTATTGGGAAATTTGAGTTAAAGTGAAAGGAGGGAAAATTGATCTAGAATATCAAGAAGTGTTTTGAGGGTTTTTGGAAATCTCCCCATTCTTTCTGTCCCAGGAAACTGCATTAATGGGGTATTCAAAAGAGAAAGTAGATGATGTTCAGGGGATTATGCTTTGAGAAAGTGGACAGGATAGGTGACAGGATAGGTAACACAAATGGATAGTTTCCTGTCCATTAGT